GCGGGCTCGGCGCGGGAGACCGCACGCCACAAGGCGACCCCGGAACCTCGGAGCGCGGCGGCCGCACACCACGGAGTCCTCCTCCCGCCGGGCCGCAGTCCAGCTGCCCACCGGCCACCCAGAGCCAACAGCAGCATGACGAGAGCTTGTTGAGAGCGGCGCCAAGCTCCAGCTGCCAAGGACGTCAAAAAGCGACTCTCGCGACCGACACCACAAGAGCGGCGACGTCCCGCCCTCAAAAGCTGACCACGCAGCCGGATTGGTGCCCACGCGTGCGCAGAATATGCGGCCGGCCTGCAACCTTCCCCACCTAGTGGGTTCCGGGCAGCAAAGGATCGTCGTTCCAACTCCTCGCCTAGAGTGGGTTCCGAGTTCTTAGCGTTTGGTTGCCTTTATGATTGATCATGAAGGCCCCCCCCATACTTGAAAGACCCCCATGTCCACATACTATGTTAAACTCTGCTGAAAAACTTAACTGAGCCATAGAAAAAAAGCCCCCAGGCTCAAGCTAATGACTAAGAAATGTAGCTGGGCCACAGAAGGAAAGTTCCCTGGGGCCCAGCCGATGCTAAAACAGGATATCTATGGGTTGCAGACTCGCTGACTAGGCTGAGGAGAGGGAGTACCCCACCCCCAAGACATTCTATCGAAACTGTCAGCTTGCTGCAGGGTTCTCTGTCTAGCTTTGTGGGTTTTTGGGGAAATTCGGGAATAGACATGGGGACATTCCCGGGGTGAGCTAAACCCGCCAATTTGAGAACCAATGAAATGCTTGTTGCTATGTAGCCTCTTATGTAACTTAAATCCCTATAAATACATAATGTGCCTTCAGCCTGGTATGCTCAGTAACTTGGTTGCTGTAGCATCCATAGACGTCTGTGTATATTCTTTAAACTGCCTCTTGGTCTTGCATTCAGTGGACTGGTTCTTGGGCAGAGGGCTCCAAGTGAGACCCCCCCCCTTGACTTCTGGGGTCTTTCAATCATGTGCAAGGACAGTGTGGGGAGGTATGTGAAAAAGACAAAGCTCCGAAGCCTAGCAATCATTTTCTAAGTCTTAAAAAGTGATTATGGAAAGCCAGGCTTGGTATCACACAACTTTAATCCCGGCACTCAGGAGGCAGAGGAAGGCAGATCTCTTGTGAGTTCGAGGCCTGGTCTACAAAGCCAGTTCCAGGACAGACAGTGCTGTTTTTGTTCGTTTGTTTGTTTTGTTGTTGTTGTTTTTCTGAGACAGGATTTCTCTGTAGCTTTGTAGCCTGTCCTGGAACTAGCTTTTGTAGACCAGGCTGGCCTCGAACTCACAGAGATCCGCCTGCCTCTGCCTCCTGAGTACTGGGATTAAAGGCATGCTCCACTACTGCCCAGCCAGCCAGTGCTGTTTTATAGAGAAACCCTGTCTTTGGGGGGGGGGGGGTAGTGGAAGGGAGTGGATTGGAAAAACGATTCTAACCTATCAGAAATAATTCTAGAGTTATCAGCCCAAAAAGAATGCAATACTTTATATGCTATGAACAAAACGAGTGATAATGTAGCTCAATCACCAAGATGGGAGAAAATGGAAATTTTTGACGTAATATAGTTTTCAATTTTGTTGGCAGATATTTTCATCCATACACACATTTGTTCTTTGCTCTTTAAAGAGGTATCGTGTGGGGTGGAAAATACAGCTTGCCTACCATTCAATGATTGGGGAGAATTGCAAATCCAGATCCAACTTACCTTGGGTCCTCAGCAGATCTCTTAAGAGCCATTTATTGTCTTCCTCTATGAATGAAAACAAAAAAGAAAAAAAGAAAAGGAAAGGAAACTTGACTGCTCCTGGTATGGTGGAGGGGAAGGTTTATAGCGTAGATGAAGGAGAGCGTCAGCAGGGGCAGGGATATCTGGGAGAGTCCAGAGCGGAGCGGGGAGGGGAATGGAGACTTAGGCCAGGGAGCTAGAGGAGGGTTAAGTGTGGTATCAAGACTCTCAATCCAGGGCATCCCCAAGCAGACTGAGATTTGTCGAAGAGAAATGTTCCAAATCCCAGAGGAAAGATGTCCCTTGTCCTTGTGATTGAAGCTCAATGGGGGTGAGAGGAGCTTCCTGGTACACCAGTGTGGCTTTATGGTAACAGTAGACAAAGCCGGAAATTCTGAGATAACACCCAGCAGTCAAGGAGAGATGAGTGGTTAGAGCAGGTAGAAGAGAAAACAGCTGGATAGGAAGACGCTTTGGGGAAAGGGAGGCAGAGGAAAGTGTCTTGGTATAGAGAGATGCCTAGATAGGCTTGGTGTGCTTCAGGAGCCCAAGAGATACTAACTCAATAGTTTAGGAGAGTCAGATGGTTAGAATAGGTGCTGGGAAGAGAAGCTGAAGAGTTGGACTCCAGAACTTGGAGCCAAAATATGGCCAGTGGCAGAATCCAGCCCGAGCAAGCGATCTACATGCAGGAGGGCAAAATTGGCAGCTTAGTTCAATTAAAAGAGGTCGAGCCCTTGAAGGGGGGCTTATTGTATTAGGATTTTTTTGTTGTTGTTTTTTATTTTGTTTTTTTTTAGTTTTAGAGGTTCGGTCCATTATCATGACAGGGAGGGAGCATAGCCGTGTGCAGGCAGACGTGGTGCTGGAGTTGATAATGCTACATCTTGCAGACAACAGAAAGTTAACTAGGGATGGAGAGATGGCTCAGTGGTTAAGAGCATTGCCTCTTCTTCCAAAGGTCCTGAGTTCAATTCCCGGCAACCACATGGTGGCTCACAACCATCTGTAACGAGGTCTGGTGCCCTCTTCTGGCCTGCAGACATACACACCGACAGAATATTGTATATATAATAAATAAATAAATATTTTAAAAAAAAACAGAAAGTTAACTAACAGTCACAGTGAGGGAAGCTTGAGCAAAAGAGACCTCAAAGCCCAAATCCCAACAGTGACACACTTCCTCCAGCAAGACCATGCCTCCAAATAGTACCACTCCCTTTCGGAGACATTTTCTTTCAAACCATCACACTCATTTACGCCTCTTCCAGGTTTTGAGCACCCAGTGAGTGAAATGGGTGCAGCAAGGGCTGGAGAGTTGGCTCAGGGGCTTAAAACACTGGCTGCTCTTCCAGAGGACCTGGATTCCATTCCCAGCAGCTCACAACTGTCTGTAGCTCCAGTTCCAGGAGAACTTCACACCAATCTTCACACCAATAAAATAAAGTTAAATAAATTTTAAAAAAAATAGGTGTAGTAAAGAAACTAAAATAGCAACTCTGTGGATAAAAAGAAAAGGCTGATTCCAAACTACCCAGACTCTCATAGAAACAGAGAAAGGCAATTGGGTGGTGGGGAGGGGATGTATACAGGAGTTTGAGGGAAACGGGTACCTGGGAGGAGAGGAATCTAATAGAAGACTTTAAAGTGTATAATAAACCTTGATATGCTAATAGGCACCAAGAGTGTGTTAATGTGTTAATGGAAAAGTTCCTTTTAGCAGGTAGACACTATTTTCCCAAGTTCAGGATGGGGTGCTGGCTTTTTGTCTAAATGCCAGACTTTGGGCAAAGGGATTTCTTGGACCAGACATTCTGTAAATGACATCTTCATGAATTCATTTGAAACACACAAACAGAGCACAGAGTTTTATTTGGAATGTGCAGGATCCTAGGTTTCTAGTCAACGAGCAAGCTAAGGATACCATCAAAGGGCACCTGAAGCCTAAAGCACACTTCCCCCACTTTGTTTTAACCTACCTGACAGTTCGGTTCCGTCAGTGTGGAAACATACATTGATTGATGATGACGTTCATTGTTCTATTACTATAAAAGCTTCATGAAACCACTACCACATTGGAACATAGAACATGGATGACCTAAATCTGTGTTCACCGGCTGTGGTCACTCATTTGGCTCCAGGATAAATTATCTTTTACCTCCTTTGAAGTGAGAGTTGCTTTTGTATCAACACTCTGTACCTTCCTCCCCAAAGCAGAGGATACTTATGCCTATTGCCAGGACTTAGGAATAGAGTTCCTGAATAAATTTGGAAACCCATGGTGCTATCTGTCTCTGTCTCTCACCTGCCCTGGCCCTTCATGATCCACTGCCCGCTGCCGCCCCTATGGGATTGGTGCCAATTTATATTTTACCACTACAGATATCCTTGCCATAGTCTTGCTGACTATATAAGTTGGCTATTCGGCTCATTTGGGAAGCCAGATGGGAGACATTACTCAGCAATTTAAGAGTCCCTGTTCTTGTCAAGGACCTGGGTTCAATTCCCAGCACATGGTGGTTTACAATCACTTGTAACTCAACTCCAATTCCAAGGGGTTTGATGCTGTTGGACTCTAGTGTCCAAACCAAGAAGGAGTCGCTCCCAGAGACCATCTCATATACCACAGCCGATGCAAAAGCATGAGGATTTTATTAATTCTGTCATGACAGGGTCCCTCAGCATTTGGGAAGCCGAGAGACCCCGACTAGCTGGTACAGTCTACTTTTAAAGGAGAAGGCCCTATAGAAACAAGAGGGGTTGTTCCTTGACCATTATGAATGGCTTATTCGAAAAGGGCTAATACCAATAATTGACTGGAGAAATATTGTCAGATCAAATGAGGTAAGAGGTCATTTTGACCCCGTTTCCCAGGGGACTGAGTCAAAACATACGTGTATGGGTAATTGTTCAGGAACTGAGTACGTGCATGTGTAGCTGTTAGGTCCTTGGTTCCCAGGGGAGGAGGGGAAGCACTGAGGCACAGAGGCTGAGAGGCTTTGGAATTGTCAGAAATGGCTTCAGAATTGTCTAAAATCTTACAATGCTTTCTTCTGACAGCCAAGGCAACCAGGAATGCACGTGGTGTACATGCAGACAAAACACTTATACACACATATCTAATATTTTTCAGAAGAAAAATGGGACGCACTTGTGGGGATATTCAGTGTCGATCATAAAGATGAAAGGTACAAAATGGGACAGAAATACTTCTGGGCATGAATAATTGCTTGTTTTTTCCTAAAAATAATTTAAGAGTTTGTCCCTAAAGATCCTGAGGAAACTGCTACTCTGAAGGCAGGAGCCATTATGCTGAATTGTTAAAAATAAGTTTCCATTTACTGTAAGAGCTGAGGTGCTGTCTTTTTTTTTTTTTTTTTTTGAGACAGGGTTTCTCTGTAGCTTTGGAACCTGTCCTAGAACTAGCTCTTGTAGCCCAGGCTGGCCTCAAACTCACAGATCTCCCTGCCTCTGCCTCCCAAGTGCTGGAATTAAAGGCG